CCCCCCCCATTAATGCAAAAAACCCACAAATTTCATGTGCCAGATGAAAAGAAACTAAATAGCCCTGGAAATATACCAGTGAAATTTAGATCCAGGCAGTGTACATTTTGTAGCACAAGGAAGAAACCTCATAGAACAAGATTACACTTGTGAAACGTGCAGTGTGGGTGTGCGTGCCACAAAAACAGTGTCACTGTTCAAAAAAATTTGTTGTTTGAATTTTTTAAAAAAAAACTGATTTTTTTTATCCTTTACTGAGTTTTTAATCCATTTATCCGAACGTCCTTATTATGTAGGTACTTATATTTTCACTGCTATAGAAAAATTACATAAATGCTTATTTTTTAAATTTTTCTCACCATTTTCTTTGTAAAATAATGTAAAAAAATTATATATAATGCAATTTTAAAATTCGGAAATTTCGTTGTTTATTGGAAACGAGCACGGAAAAAGGTAAGTTTTTTTTTTTTTTTTTTTCCCTACTGCCTCATTAAGTTTCAAAGTCCTGGATGTGCAGTGGTTTCACAGTGCAACCACCACCCACAGAACAATGGGCAAGAGTAGATTTTTTTAATTCATATGTTATTTGTCTCTAGGATCATTATATTCAATTTCTAGAGTTTTTAGTTGAAAAATTATAAAAATAGTATCGTGTGCGTCAAAGGGTTAAGTGTGGCTAAGCCTAATTTTTTTTAACCATATCAACCATATTTGTTTACATTTGAAACTTAGCAGAACAGTGAATTAAGTCTTTCTGCACCTTCAGTGTCCTTTTGCCAAGTGGGGCCAAAAGGAAACTAGTTTTGTGTACCAAACAATCTGCCTTCTTGCCTGCTCGCCGAATTGCTTGTTTTTGCGTAGATATTCTAATTTTAATTGTAAAAATTATTTTCCTAATTGTTTTAATTGTATTTAGTGTTTTATGTTTTTCTATATCTTTCAGTTTTTAATGAAAATATTTAAAAATTTTTTTGCGTAGCTGTGAAGTGAGAATTGAATTAATTAAATGAAAAATATACCTCTAATGAAGTTCAAGGAAATAAAATTTTAATGAAATGCAGGAAAAAATGCATATAATTTAATATCTGGTACAAGGAAATCATGTGATCTACACATCAGCTTTTTTCATATATTAACATAAAACAGCCATGTTCAGTGCTTAGAAGTTTTTCTTACAGTTATGCCTGTAGTTAATCAAACAGCTTTTTAATAATTTCATGTAATTCAAAGTTATTATTTTAATTGTGTTAATAATGAATGCCTGAAAATTGGAATTACTTTTAACATCGAAATTTTATATGCTATATTATAATAAATAATTGATAAGGTTTTTCTCAATCAGAGAAAACAATAATAATTTCTTTAAAGGAAATTGTATGTAGCCATTTGAAAGGGGTGAAAATGAATCATCATATATTGCCCTTAGATATGTTTTGGCTGTATAAAAATCGTAATTCTAAAATCAAAATCCTACATCATGCTTAAAGCAGGCCAGAAGAAACATGGTCAAAACAATACTTGGATTTTAGACCACAGAAAAGCGGGACTTTCAGTCTGTACAAAACAATTTAGGTTTGATCGTTTGTAATTACAATGGTAGTCTTGTGCATATGGGAGACTGCATGATTCATGAAAACAGATAAAGTCGTTATTTCCCTGCATTCATTGAATCTCTCACGTTTCACTGTCAATTTTTTGCAAAACTGTGTAAGAAAACTTAGACTGCTTGATGTTGTGTTGGTTCTAATCCTTTGTCTGCCCATTAACTGATCACTTCTGGCTTTGTGTCTTCTGTGTGGCATTTGTTCAGTATGACTATTCAGAGAAGTTTCAGTATGTTTTTCAATTCTTTTTGAAAGTCAGTCAAAATTTCATTCAGTGTCTGGCGTGGTTGTTTTCTCCGTACCCGTGTATTTATCAAATTAATCCATCCATTGCAATTGAGATTCGTGAAATATGCGGACAATATTGTTTGCTTGGTATCATTAGCTCTTTGCTGACCTTTATTTGAAAATTATCTGGATGAATTCTCATTTAAAAAAGACAAATATGATCTAGCAAAATCTTAAAGTCCTTTTTGACAGATCTTTTGTGCAATTGTAAGTAGTGGTGGTTTGCAACATGGTGATTCATTCCATTAACATGGAAACAGGGCTGCAGAAAGGCATTTTGGACCAGCCCCCAATTGAGAAAATTATAAGAACTTGGTGGAATCAGGAAGAGGATCTAAATAAAGCAACTCACAATAAACATAGCCTACGAAGGCAAACTGCACTATGGCCTGAACTTGAGGCAAATCTCAATACTTGGATTTTAGACCACAGAAAAGCGGGACTTTCAGTCTGTACAAAAATAATTATTCATAAAGTGAAAGAGATAGCAACTGATAGAGAGATTGCTGATTTTACTGGAAAAACATCATACTGTTCAAGATTCATAAGAAACCAGCTATGTATGCAGACTAAAACAGAAATAATGCAAAAGATGCCAGATGAATAGGAAGAAAAATTATTGAATTTTCCTTCAAAAATGTGTATAAAATAAAGGAGGTGCATCTTATAGGCCGGTGCGTCTTATACGCCATCAAATACAGTAATTCAGTTTTTAAGGAACATCTTCCACCTGCCTTAGGGATATTTCATGTCATGCAAATAAGCAAATGAATATATTGACATGTGATCCATCAAAATACATTATTTAGTAAATCATATTAAATAAGACATTGATATAAGCAACCAAAAAAATGTTCAATTTTTTTTTTTTTTTTTTTTTTTTTTTTTTTTTTTTTTTTTTTTTTTTTTACCCGAAAACAGTCTGTGTACACATATGCCACAGGCTAAATCTTCTTAAAGGTCAAGGCATTATTTCTTTGTGACTTCTTAAGAAACTTCTTTATAAGTCAAAATAGCATAAAGGAAAGATTGCCTTCAGTTGGTTATAGTCTATGGTGACCAACAAGGTTGATACTCCTAGCATCCCTATATTTGCTAATCTTCAATGTCACTTCATGAAATGAGATTCTTATAGCATTTTAATTATAAAAAAGAATTAACAAAAATTTTTCTAGAGTAGAGTGAAATAGGGCAAAAAAAAAATTTTTTTTTGTTTTAAAATTTTATTATTTTCTGACCCAGCAAATGGTTCTGTTTGATGAAAAAAACACAGTAAAAAATTGCAGCTAAGTTGCTCGTCATCTTCAGGTTCCACATGAGGTTAAAAAAAATAAAAACATCAAATAATGATTCCTTTAATAGAAATTTTGTTTCCTGACCCAATTTATGGTTGTAATTGGCCAAAAAAAGAAAAATAAAATGCCAGTAAAAAAGTTTCAGCTTAATCACTTGTCATCTTGAGGTTCTACAGAGAACCAAAGGAATTCATCTTGGTGTCGAACTTTGTAAATTCGTTCTGGGACTTGATTCTATTGCATATGAATCCATCCCTGGCTTCTGTACCACATGTTGCCAATGATGCTTCTGCCAGCAGTTTCACATGCCTCTCTACTATTTGAGAATGGCATGAGAACTTTCCTATTTCAAACTAAGAACCACTTCGATCTTATGTCTTCGTCGCTGAAGTTCAAGGTAGCTTGGGATTCCAAGAGATTGTCCCAGCAAATCATCTCAAAATACTCCTCTGCTTGTAACTTTAATTTGGGAAGCACGAAGTACGGTATTTTCCCCTAACAGTCAATTTTTCTTGCTTTCAGTATTCTTCTTAGGCTAAGTTCACGAATATGTGCTCGTTCATCTCTCAGCATCACCGACAGGATGTTATCAGATTGAGCAAAATAACAGTTTCACTTAATAACTTTGTGAATGATTGCCTTAAAACTTTCTGGCAAGAATAAACTTTTCTCAATCATTCCATGAATATGACTTGCTCCATGGGTTGCTCTTGGGATATTCTCAATTTCAAACCAGGATGGAGCATAAACTTTATTACATACTTCGGCTAGTAGCTTCAAGTTTTCTGTTGCTCTGGCAGTTGATACATAAAGGTGAAGAATTCTGAGGGCTGTAGTGAGCCATCTTGAGTGGACCATCTTTCCTTGACTCCTGTTTGCTAGGTCTGAAGGACACTTCCCTGAGGATACTATCTTAGAAATACCAAGGATGTATGATCAATATTGAGGTCTTTTTTGTCAATTTTGGATAGGTCAACTGGAATAGCGTCATAACCTGTCACATGAAGAGTTTCACATTTTTTCCTGTTGTTCCAGAAAGCTGTTGTGGCACAGATTTTTTTCCAGTAATCTTTTGGGAAAGAATGATGAAGAGGCAATTCATTGGTATGCAAAAAGCATACAAACCAATGCAGTTTATGACCAACAAAGACCTCAAAAAAGATCCATTATTAGTTAATGCTATCGCAGTTGAACATAAACAATGACTGATAAAGCAAGACTGACAAAACACACCTAACAGACAACTAATTAGCAATAAAATGTTGTTGAGAGATCATGGAAGCCACATGATTGCTTAGTCCAAGCTAGAACCGATAGTCAGATTAGAACCTGTTCTGCATCTAGTAACATATCTTGGCTTTAAATTTGATATTTTGATGTAGGATGAAATTCCTGGCACTAATAATGGTGTTTTTAGCAAAGTAGTTCATGAAAAAAGCATAAAACTGTTAAAAAAGTTAGTACAGGTATTCACTTAAGGTGTGGAACCTCAAAATGTTAATGTTTTGGGCTGAAATTCGAACACAATGTGTTCTAACACTTTTGGAACCACATAATGACTCGGGCAGGAGGAAATTTAAAAAAAAAAAAGAAATTCCCTCCACCATAATATATATTTACAGAAACAAAACTTGATTAAATTTTCTGCACGTCTTTAAAAATGTACATCACATTATTTTAACTTTTTTTTTTTTTTTCCTTTTTTTAAATGGAAACCGAGTGTAAGCATTCATTTGTTTAATGTTAGTCTTTTTTAAAAAAGCTTAAACTATGTTTCTAAAAATTTAAAAAAAAAAAAAACACTGCAACTTACCGGCAGACATGCAAAATATTGTCCCGATGTAGTATTGTAAAGTTTATGGAAGAAGTTTCCTGGGCCACAAAAGCAGTTAATGCTTATCGTGCCATTTGACCGTATTTCAGCAGCGACAGATTGACTTTCCTCACATGGCTCCAACTCTGCAACTTGACTGCAAAACTTTAAATTAAAATATTATTTTTTGCTTACTTTTCTAAATGAGTTTAACTAATACATAATTTTTATTGGTTTAAACATTGGTACAATAATTTAATTTCAGATTTAAATCATTTAATTCTTACTTTGAGCTGTGCTCGCACGTTGAGGGAAATGGTTCTCTTGTCATTTGTATCCATCCACTCCATAGGGCAGTCTGTCAGATCAGGACACTTGCATAACCTGTATACTATGGGCGATAGCCAGAATCGTAAGCGGACAATATTGCAAGCTTCACGTGGTCCCGTGCAAAGAGGAAGATTTCGTTCTGATGTTGCCTACAAAATAAAATCTTTTTTTTTAATTCAATATACATAGTTACTGCATTTTTTAATATCCTGAAGCAAACACATTTAAATATATATATATAACGTAAAAAAGGCGAACTAACTAAACTTAAAAGAACCTGTGAGGTCAAGACTTTTGCGCATTGAGCTGCAAAATTTGAAATAAAATTAAAAAGTAAATTCTTCAAGCTATAGCGTATGAGCTAAAGTGATACTTCGGTTCTTTTGCAAAATAGTATAAACACAAAGTAAAGATCCAATTGTAATTCAAAATGTAAAGGCACAATATGTATAAAATACTAATTAAGAAAAATAGAAAAAGATGAAAGCTTAACTTGATTCAAACTTAGAAATTAATATGTGTGTAGAATAAAGTGTAAGCTATCTCAAAACATATTAGAAAAAAATACAGAAACATCATTAAAAAATAATTACTACAAGCAGCGGTAAATGGAATAATAAGCCTAATTCGAATATCACCATGGACTTTTCAAGGGAAATGCATGGCGAGATTCGAACTCTGCTAAATTCCAGAACATGTTTCATCAAACAGGCCATTGGAACTGATAGTCAACAAATTTTTTATTAAAAAAAGTCCAAATATTAGTTGTATCCAAGTCTCAATTTCCCTGTTTCATTTCCCGACGTGTCTGCTGTTATATATATATATTTTGTAAATGCATAACTTTGGGTTCAAGTTTATAATTGAGTTTTCCTTGATATGTTTGGCAATTTTTATGATCCCAGGAAGCAATGTTTCCAAGATGGCTCTTATCCAAAACAACGCCAAAAATGTATGTTACTAAAACAGCAGTATTCACCTGAGGTGTCTTGGTTGTTTCTCATTGTCAGCACTGGATAATTATTGCACATGCATAATGCAAATCATGCAGTCCCAAAATTGATCCTTCTCCTGATCCCAGTACTGGCATCACCACAAAAACTCCACAAAGGCCAAATACAAAATGTTATCTGATGACTGCTGAAGACCTTTTTGCAAAACTCACGCTTAATGTAGCTCCGAGATGCTCTAAATGGTGTTGGTATGAACACCAATTGTGGGCATTTTTCTAGCAACAAATCCACTCTTAGCCATCCAATTGATTCTTAAGATCAACCAGATGCATATCTTTTAATACAATTTTGATATACCAATCAGTTATAGTTTTCTTACCCTTTTCGCTCTCAGTGAAAAGAAAAGAATTTTTGTCTTGCTAGACATATTTCTTTGTGGGACAACTTGAACCAGACAGCTAACAAAAGGTAAATTATGGGCTATCAAAATTCCGATAATTCAAAATAAGATCAAAATTCAAAATATGTGATTAATAGTACATGATAAACATGTACTATACAAGTCACATAGCTCCTGATCACTAAACTAAGAAGTTCAATCAGATTAAATCTCTGAAAAAAATATTGGCATATAACAGAAAAATGGCTGCCACAACATTGTGGAAACAGTACCAGCTTCAGTATTTAGCGCCAAATCAAAGGGCACCCTTTTCTACAGTAGACCTTAACTGTTTCTTTTGATACCAAATTCATGCTTCTGTGAAAGCTTTACTGTGTGAAAGTGATTGGCATATTTATCTTTATTCTCATTTGGTCAGATTGCCAATGAAGCTAGATTTATTGTGCTAAATTTATTTATCTATATGGTAATTAATTTTGAAACTATAGAACAAGTTGAACTTTTGTAGAAAGAAGCAAAATTTCAAGAAGGAAAAGTAGTTTGAAAATTCATAGATGATATTAATATGATTAATATGATAGATGATATTAATATTAGATATTAATATGATAAATTTATTGGACATTTAAAAGTACAGCGGGCTAAAATTCTTCAAAATATGATCCTTCAGCATCAACTCAGCGCTGCCAGCTCGTCTTCCACTGTTCGTAGCCCTTCTGGAAGGCCTCAGGTGTCATGCTTTCGAGGGCTCTCGTCAAAGCCTGCTGGATGGAGTCGAGTCACTTCCCTTTTAGGCCTGTCCTAATTCTAGGGAAGAGGAAAAAGTCACTTGGAGCCAAGTCGGGGCTGTAGGGTGGCTGCAGCAGTGTTGTCACGTTGAACTTGACCAAAACTTCGGCAGCACATGACGAGTGAGTGGGCGTGTTGTCGTGGTGGAGAATCCAATTGTCCTTGGTCGCCGGGCAGATGCGGCAGACTCGATCCCTCAAGTGGCGGAGCAACAAACTCCTTGTGAATCACTCCTTTACCATTAAAAAAAAAAAAAAGCATACACTTCACACGCAACTTGCTCATGCGAGCTTTCTTGGGCTTCAGCGAAGAAGCAGTGCAGCATTCTGAGCTTTGACGCTTCGACTCAGGATCGTACTCGTAGACCCAGGTCTCATCACCAGTAACCACTTTCTCCAGAAGGTTCGGATCAACATTCAACCGTTGGAGCATTTCCTGGCAAACAGTCATGCACCGTTTCTTCTGATCCACCAACAAAACTTTTGGCACACACTTTTCACATCATCAACTTCTCCATCACAATCTTCTACACCATACTCTGACTGAGTCCTAGTTCATCGGCAATTAATCTAGTACTAAGACGATGGTCATTGTTTAAAAGTTCCTGCACTCTCTCCACATTTTGATCCGTTTGGCTTGATGATGGCCTCCCAGAGCGGTCGTCATCTTAAACATTCCCATGGCCATCTTTGAAACGTTTGTGCCACATGAAAACCATTGCACGGGACATGGCTTCTTTCTTAACCCTCAGTTGGAGGGGCTGGCGTATGATACAATCTTAGAGGAGCGGCGTATGAAGTATGCCAGGTCATTTTTCGAGCCTCTGCTTCATGTTTGAAACTATTTAATCTTATACATGGCATTAATAAGGTTATTCGTCATAGTAAAAATGATATAAGAAAAAGAATAACAGAAAAGCAGTAAAGATGGAAACTACGAATTATTAATTAATTCAAAAAGTGGATGCACTGGAAATGTAATTTAAAGTTAAATAGTATTCTGAATTATTTTCTGTATGAAAATTATAAGAACATAAATCAAAATTTCAAATCATAAATATTCCGTAAAGAAAAGTTCGGTAAGTAATAAATTTCACAAATGAGAAATTTGAAAACCTTTTGCTATTTTAATCCTCTTCCGATTGTCCCCGTTCACTGCAGCAGGATTTGCAAAGTTGTACTGTCTTGCCCAGATGATTTTTGCAGGTAAACTTAGAAAACTCAGAACATTTTATGGTAGTGTAGTTATTCTTCATTCTACCGCACTCAACGCAGCATCCTTTGATCTTTTTTGCAGGTGGTTCCTCGTCCCTTTCGGCCGTCTTGTCCAGCTTCTGTTGTTACCAATCTTTCTAATAATAGCTTTGGAATGCGACAGGAGAAATGGCATTTTCAGAGACGATTCTGAAGATGTGGTTTCAACCAAAGATGTAGCTAGAGATTTTTCAAAAAAAAAGTCTTCCTAAACTTGATGGTTGCATCAGGTTTGGAGAAGTTCAAGAGCACTTGCGAATTTATGCCCGCTACGTTTAGCCAGTGCAAAAAATATTTGCCATTATCCACCTCTTGGTTTTTCGGGCGACAGTGAATTTACTACAAAGTTGGTAGCCTACGGTGTCAACTCCGCCTTTACATTTGTTATAATCCAGGATTATTTGAGGTTTATTCATTTCCTGGTCAATTTTGATCATCATCGTGTAAAGTACTGAGCAGTATTACACACTTATTTTTTTTCGTTGAATATGAAACAATTGTCATATCCTTTTTGGAAAACCAAACAGTGAACTGAATGCCGACTTCTCTTGTTTTGTTTTTGATGGCTGGAATTCATTTGGAATTTCCTTTTTATTTTTTTTTTCAGCATGCCTACAAGTGTTATACAACCTTTGGTAAGAAGACATTGAGCTAGTGGGTAGCTTGTATATCAGTTATCGGTCGTCAGGTTATGGTTGGAACCTTCGTACGCACCAATTAGCCTTTTGATAATGACAATACTTGAATTAGAAGCCTCTTAAAGTCCTGGGGGTTTAATTGCCACAGTAAATTTCAAGCTTCAATGTATAAAACGTTCGTGAGTCAACAACTGCAAAAAATTTCAGATCATACTTTGCGGGCTTGTTGGGGATGAATGAATAAAAGAGCACCTCCCGCGAAAGGGTTCCAACTTCTTGTCGATTGTGAGTTCGTGTCACCTGGTGTATATAAAATTTTCGACAGTTCTGATTGAAAGATTCAAAAAATTCTCTTAGTGCAGCAAGCTTATCAGTTTTTCTTCGCACATACCTTGTGCCTTTATCATCGAATCTAATAGCAGCACACAGGTTTCTGAATCGCTTGAGACCCATGACTCCTTGCAAAATTTCCATTCGAGTACCGTCTTTTGCCCATGCTTCCTCCAAATTGAGTTTTGACATTTTTTTGCACCCTAATAATAAAATTCCTAAAAAGGCCAACATTTCTGCTGTATTAGTATCATACATGCTTCTCTTTGAGATGTTTTGGAGATCATCTGCAGTCCTGTTACATTTGAGATAAATATTTGTATATTGTACAATAGCATCAATCATATTTGTATTTATGATTTTCTGAAAAGCAGAAAGCTCGTCATTCATATCGTTACAAGTTTTGTCACTTGGGCATATTTTTTTCATTAAATTTTTTCGAGGCGTTCTGGCGAATTTGCTCTTGAGGGGAACTTTATTCCACTTATAAGTTTCCTTTTCTTCTTTCAGAAACTTTCCTCCAACTTTCTTCTTTTTGTAAATTGTTTTTACTAAAAAGTCTATTGTTTTTACAAAAAAGTCCTCATATTTTAAATCACTCATGTCATTTTCAATATCACTAAAATCGTCATTTGTTGAGGAAACATCATTTGAGGAAGGAAAATGAGGATGTTTAGAAACATTTCCCTCAATTTCTCACTTTCATGACCAGAATGTTCGATGACTTCCGATTAATCGACATCAGATGCGTTATGCAAATTGTCAGAGTCTTCATCAACCGAGACT